GAGCATCAACCCTGACGAGGCTGTTGCCTATGGAGCAGCTCTACAGGCTGCTTTGCTTACTAAAGGAAACATGTTTGTCCCCAACTTAGTGCTGTTAGATGTTACGCCGTTGTCACTTGGTATATCTGTAAACGGAGATCTCATGAATGTCGTGATTCCTAGGAACACCACCATTCCTGTTGTAAAAAAGCAAGGATATAAAAGAGCCGAAGATTTCCCATCTGCTGTGTCTATTCAGGTATACGAGGGTGAAAGGACAAGAGCAAGAGATAACAATTTGCTTGGTTTGTTTAATCTTTATGGCAATTCTTATGCTCGTCGAGGCCATAGTTTAACCGTATGTTTCAGTATAGATGCAGATGGTATCCTAACTGTAATAGCTGAGGAAGAAAGCAGTGGAAGTAAGAATGGGATTACCGTAACCAACGACAAGGGAAAACTATCAACTCAAGAAATTATGAGAATGATTCAAGAAGCCGAGAAGTACAAGGCTGAAGACCAGAAATACGAAAAGAAAGTTAAGGCAATTAATGCTTTGGATGACTTTGTTTACAAGATAAGGAATGCTATAGATGATGTAGATAATCCACAGAAGATAACGAAGATCAACATGGCTATTGCAGAGGCCGAGAAATTGCTTGATGCTAGGGAGCAGACAGAAACAGAGGTTTTTGTGGATCATCTGCACAGGGTGAAGAGCCTCATTGAATCCGTCATGAAGATTAAGTTTTAAGTTTATGTTGGTGAAAAAGGTAAAACTTTATGAACCATCTAAACAATATGTTTCAGTTTCAATCATTAATCATTTGTTAGAATAAACTTAAATTTGAAGTTTTTTGTAATTTCGTTTGAGTTTTAGCCTATTTTTATTTTTCCAGTGGTCTTTTTCCAGTTTTGTTGTAATCGATACTGTTTTTATTTTATTTGAACGCAGAATTTTCTGTATACTCTATGTGGATAAAGTGTAGAGAGGGACAATACATAGTATACATATATATCTTCACACACAGATAAGATATTAACAGCTTTGAGTGAAACTCTTACGAATTTATTTTTGGTATCTCTCTGACGCTCCATGTATTGAGTTATCATTTTAAGACTCAGGCCCGTGAATCGCGATGTCTCAAATAGTTCAGGTGCTCTATCTGCCTCAATTATTACTTTTTAGAGCAATAATCAAGCCAAATACTTTATTCTAAACTAGATTGAAAGAAACAAAATGCAAATTGCTTCCTTTCAGACTAGACTTAAAAAATACCAAACATAACTTATAGGACCTTTCCAAAATTTATTCTCGAAAAATAAATGAAAAAAGACCAATCTGGAAGGAATATGAGTTTCAGAGATGGTCAACGAAACGATGTTTGCTTGATAGATTTGAGGAGCTAAAGGTTTTGTATGGCTTAAAATAGATCTCTCGAGCATGAAATGAAATGAAATAAAATGATTGACCCCTGTTTCAAGAAGAATGAGTACGAGCAATGTTCATATATATGCTTTATATTTAAAGAAGAACAAAGAGGATATGATGATTGTCGTCTGGTACGTTGATGATCTAATCTTTACGGAGAGGAGAGACGAATTGGTTGAAGAGTTTAAAAAGATATTGAAAAAGGAATTTGAAATTATTCATTTGGATTTCATGAAGTACTTTCTTGGATTAGATGTCGTTCAAAACACAAAAAACGTTTTTGTATCTCAAATGAGATATGTTGAGGAGATATTGAAGAAGTAAAATATGATGAAGTGCAACCGGGGTCTTATACCAATGAAACCTAACACAAAACTCTTCAAACATGAAGATGGAAATCGAGTTGACACAAGCAAGTACAATTACTGACTTAATGGATACCACCTAACGAAAAAACAACTTATTATGATTTTTGTATGAAGATTCAACGTACACATACTCATAAGTAGGTATCTTTTATATATATATATATATATATATATATATATATATATATATATATGAACATGTCTATTTTTTGTTTTATTCTACGTAAGATTTGTTTGTACCCAACAATTATATTAATATATAAAATCAAATATATTACAGAATGTGTGTGATATGCTATTTGACTTAGAAATCTTTTAAGCAAGTTGGACTTAAACAAGAAGAGACCGTCATTATCCAAGTAGATAACAGATCAATTATTTAGTTAGCAAAATCATATGAAGAAAAAAAAAATACATTAATGTCGGTTTCATTTATCTAGAAAAAAAAATAAAAACACGTAAGAAGTAACTGATTATATTTTTATTTCATTTAAACTCAGTCAGTATTATTTTTCTTATGTTCTCAGGTTCGGTACTATTCAGAACTATTTAGTGGTCAATTCTATTAATGAATATATAGCGAGTTCCAATTTCACATATTTGTGAATGTCGTATTTTCTATCATCCTTGAACACATTTTTCTTATATATCTTTTTAATGGGAAGGCGGATGGGGGAATAATACAAACAACCAATAAGATAAGTAACAAGACTATGAAAACCTTATTAAAAGATTTAAAACCTGTCCTTTACTGTGGTTTGATAGATTGGCTCCAGTATGCAAAACTGTTACAAAGGATCACGACAGGTATATCGAAACTTTGAAAATAATCAATTGTTTGAAAATCAAAATTGGAAATCGTCACCATAATTAATTTTAATAAATTATAAAATGAAATATGGTCTACAAAATAAAATTGAGTCTGAAAATCGCTTATCATAAGGAGTGTATTAGCATCTTACAATCTTTTCTGAATACAGTACCTTTAATTAATTAATTAATACAGTGAAAGCAGTTGTTTGAAATCTCATTTTAAATATATTTAAAGTTAACTATTTTTAGAAAACATATTTTAAATTATATTTTGTATTTCATAATATTTTATTCAAGCTTCTCTATTTATTTATAATTCTTTTACCTAAAATAACTTTAAATCTATTATATTTGATAAAAGAATGTAACAACAAATTAATACAATAGCTATTTGTCATTAATGAGTGTATTATCATCTAGAATAGTTATTTCTAGAATTTTGTCTTTTCATTCACCACTAATCTAATTAATTCATTTATTAGTAAATTGAAAAAATTTAAACTCGATTCGATCCATGAATTGATGGGTTAAACAACTATCTTATTTAATTATAAGTTTTTTCTAAAAATAAAAAAAAATATTTTTTATTCAAATATAAAAAAAATTTACTCTAAAATGATGTTAAATTTAAAAGAAAACTCAAAAGAAAACATATCATACAATCCAAGCGTAATAAAAAACCAAACATAAAAGACGAACAAATAAGGTTTTAACATTAATAATTTTTGTATCACTTGTCCATTTATAATATTAAAGTCTTGAATAAATAAATTTATAATATTTTTCTCTCTTGAAACATCTTATTTATCCCCATCTACAATATAATAAAAAAGAAAATAATATTAAAAAATAAAATAATAAATAATTAAATCAAACTAGGTGGGTAGGTGAGCCAACGGGGCGGGGGCCCGGATGAGCCAACGGATCCAACCTGGATGAGTCAGATTCTAAATGAGTTGGATTGAAAATTAACCCGCATAAAAAAATTATATTTTTTTCAAACTTAACAACCCGTAGTGAGTCTGATTAGCTTCGAATTACAACTCATTTTGATATCATTTTGATATCACTAGGTAAATGAGACTTTTAATATATAAACTATTGGGGGAGTCATTTTAATCTTTGTCATTTTCTTTTTTCATATCAAGAATTCAAATAACCTAAAAATATAAAACCTATATGTAGGAATGATTTTATTTACAAAATAATAATCAATAACATATTATTTCTTGTAAATGATTATGATAATAGCATGGGTGAGGGAGGAAAGGTAATAGATAGTATCAAGTTTTTTTTTAGAGTTGACCTGAGAAAAGCAATCGACCTTATATAAGGTTTTATATATGTTTCTGGTTACCATTCCCAAACGCAGAACTTATTTATCAATTTTTAATACTTATGATTTAATTCAATATTTAAAGAAAATGATCTAGTGTTTTTTTTTCAAATTTTTCAAAGGGAGAAGTTTATTAAAAAAAAAGGAAAATACTTTATGCTCAAGTCAACTGGCCGCTTGGTGGTTAAGGATGAGGATTAGTCAAAGTCATATTACTATAATTCCCATAATCAATCTTTCAGAGAAGCATCTTGTGAAGGAAAGACCCCAAAAACACAGAGATTTAATCATCATTAGTTCAAGGTAAAGGCTCTGAATCAACACCTTCATATATCTTTCTTTTTTATAAAGTACATCTTCTGTAAATTGTTAGATGTGATACACATGTATGTCTAGGTTTTCACTTCAGAAAGTTGAAGTTTCCTTTTCTTCTCAGTGTCATTAATTACTTGTGATAGGATACTTGGTCATTTCATGTGTCGATGATTATGTTTAATGTTTTATTTATTAAGGCCAAAAAGCGTTCTTCCTTTATGTCACGTTACTTTCTCGCGTTGACTTCACTTGTTTTGACTTTGAACACATTTTAGTATCACTTGAAAGAAAATGGCAAAACAAAAAAAGGAATGGGATGTGGGAATCGACCTTGGCACAACATATTCATGTGTTGCTGTGTGGCTTGAAGAACACTCTCGAGTGGAGATAATACACAATGACCAAGGCAATAGAATTACGCCTTCTTGTGTGGCTTTCACAGAGAATCAAAGATTGATTGGTGATGCTGCCAAGAATCAGGCTGCTATAAATCCAACCAACACTCTCTTTGGTAAAAAAAATTGTTTTTTTATTGCGTGTGAATTCGTTTAAATGTTTACGCTAGCTGTTTGTGTTGGTTTTTGGGTGCGCAAACGATAGCTTAACATTCATCATTTACTTATACTTTTCTCCAGTTTTCTAATTTGTTCTATAACTTTAAATTAGTATGTATCATTCCACAAGCCTACTTTGACTAACATCATTGTGGAATAGCCTTAAATTCTTGCTCAATTAGGAACAAGCTTTAAGAAATGCATAAAATGACTAATTTTGCAGATGTGAAAAGGTTAATCGGGAGAAGATATAGTGATCCCATTATTCAGGACGATCTAAAGTTGTGGCCATTTAAGGTCAATGCAGATTCTGATGAAAAACCCATGATGATTGTTTCATACAAGGGTCAAGAGAAAAAAATTTCAGCTGAAGAAATCTCATCTATGGTCCTTACAAAGATGAGGGATATTGCAGAAGCGAACTTGAAATCAGAGGTTAAGAATGTCGTGGTTACCGTGCCTGCTTATTTTAATGATTCTCAGCGACAAGCAACAAAAGATGCTGGTACCATTGCTGGCCTCAATGTTATGCGGATAATCAATGAACCCACGGCTGCTGCTCTGGCATATTGCCTTGACAAGAGAGCTAATTGTGTCGGAGAGCGAAATATTTTAATTTTTGATTTTGGTGGTGGAACATTTGATGTGTCTCTGCTAACAATCAAAGGTGATGTCTTTGAAGTGAAGGCCACTGCTGGTGACACACACCTTGGAGGAGAGGACATGGATAACAGAATGGTGAAGTACTTTGTTAAGGAGATCAAGAGGAAGCAGAAAGTGGACATAAGTGGGAACCCTAGAGCTTTGAGGAGGTTGAGAACTGCTTGTGAGAGAGCAAAAAGGACACTATCATCTGCTGTTGATACCACCATTGAGATAGATGCTTTATCTGGGAGCATTGACTTCTGCTCATCAATCACTCGTGCAAGATTTGAGGAACTTAACTTAGACCTCTTTCAAAGGTGTATGGAGACAGTGGAAAGGTGTCTTGTTGATTCTAAGATGGACAAGAGTGATGTAGACGATGTTGTACTGGTTGGTGGTTCTTCTAGGATTCCAAAAGTACAGCAGCTATTGCAAGACTACTTCAAGGGGAAAGAACTGTGCACGAGCATCAACCCTGACGAGGTTGTTGCCTATGGAGCAGCTCTACAGGCTGCTTTGCTGACTAAAGGCAACAAATTTGTCCCCAACTTAGTGCTATTAGATGTTACGCCGTTGTCACTCGGTATACTTTTAAAAGGAGATCTCATGGATGTCGTGATTCCTAGGAACACCACCATTCCTGTTGTAAAAAAAAAAGGATATGTAAGAATCGAAGATTTCCAATCTGCTGTGTCTATTCAGGTTTACGAGGGTGAAAGGACAAGAGCAAGCGATAACAATTTGCTTGGTTTCTTTCATCTTTATGGCAATCCTAATGCTCCTCGAGGCCATCCTTTAACCGTTAGTTTCAGTATAGATGCCGATGGAATCCTAACTGTAATTGCTGAGGAAGAAAGCAGTGGAAGTAAGAATTGGATTACCGTAACCAACGACAAGGGAAAACTATCAACTCAAGAAATTATGAGAATGATTCAAGAAGCCGAGAAGTACAAGGCTGAAGACCAGAAATACGAAAAGAAAGTTATGGCAATTAATGCTTTGGATGACTTTGTTTACAAGATAAGGAATGCTATAGATGATGTAGATAATCCACAAAAGAAAACGAAGATCAACAAGGCAATTGCAGAGACCGAGAAATTGCTTGATGCTAGGGAGCAGACAGAAACAGAGGTTTTTGTGGATCATCTGCACAGGATGAAGAGCCTCATTGAATCCATCATGAAGATTAAGTTTTAAGTTTATGTTGGTGAAAAAGGTAAAACTTTATGAACCATGATATCTAAACAATATAAAACTTTCAGTTTCAATCATCAATCATTTGTTAGAATATACTTAAATTTGACTTTTATTTGTAATTTCGTTTAAGTTTTATTTTTTCTGTTTTCTGTTGCCAATTTCTGTTTTTCTAGTTGTCGTGTATGGTCTTTTTCCAGTTTGGTTGTAATCTATTTTATTTTTTTATTTGAACTCGGTCAGTATTATTTTTCCTGTATATTCTTTTCGGTTACTATTCATGATTATTTAGTGACCAATTCTATTCAATGAATATAAACATACATGAGTTACAATTTCAAATACCGGTGGAGTGATGTGGTTACAGCAAGTACCTCCTCCGACAAAGAATTCGGAGAACGAAAACGAAAGTTTAAGATAGTCAATTCCTTCTATTTCATGTTTTCACAGAATCGGATCCATACATCGGAGAACCGATTTTTTTCTTTGCACATTTTGGGAATAATATTATAAAATCATCCATTTCACTCTGAAATCTCTTCTCTGCATCGAGGATGGCATATGCACCACATCTCACAAATCCACGCTCACCTCTCCACTCAAATCGCTTAATTCAAACACGAAGAAAATTTCTAAATCCGTCTTTCACAATACTCACTCGTGTTCAGAAAAATACACACAAAATAATAGTATTAGTTTTTCAAAAAATATCACTCTAATATAATTATATAATAAAGGAACACATATTTTCATTCATTTCACATACTTATAACAATAAAATATTATAAAAGAATAAATTTTTATATTTAAAGAAAAAAAATAATGTTGAAAGTAAAAATTTGTTTCTCAGACTATCATTTCCCATCATGATAACTGTCACACTGTCAATGGGCGCAAGTCTGTTCGTTTCTTGTGATGCACGATGCACGATGCACGAAGAGACCCTGTTCATCGGAACAACTCAGACGTGTTGGGGTCATTTTCTCATTGTTACTAAGTATAAAAATCTACCCTTCCTATTCATCCATACTTTGCTTATTCTATCTCACAGTCTTCATTCGTATAAAGAAAAATGGCCGAAGCCAAAAAGGGATTGGTAATAGGAATCGACCTTGGCACAACATACTCCTGTGTTGCAGTGTGGCAGCAACAGCATAATAGGGTGGAGATCATTCATAATGATCAAGGTAACAATACCACTCCTTCTTGTGTTGCTTTCACGGACCATGAAAGGTTGGTAGGAGATGCTGCTGCAAATCAGGCTGCTTTCAATCCAGAGAACACCATCTTCGGTATATTTTTACTCTTAAACTATTACTCGTTTTTTCCTTTCTGTGATTTTCCTGTAAACTTTTAGCAGGAAAAATAGACCACAACAATATTTTTTTAAAACTCTTGCAGATGCTAAGAGGTTGATCGGTAGGAAATACAGTGACCCGTTTGTTCAGAAAGACAAAATGTTATGGCCATTTAAGGTTGTTGCCGGTGTCAATGACAAACCCACGATTTCTGTTAAGTACAAAGGCCAGGAGAAGATCCTTATTGCGGAGGAAGTATCATCCATGGTCCTCTCAAAGATGCGGGACATTGCAGAAGCATACTTGGAAAAACCTGTGAAGAATGCAGTGGTTACTGTGCCTGCTTATTTCAACGATTCTCAGCGCAAAGCCACCATGGATGCTGGTGCTATTATAGGTCTCAATGTTATTCGTATAATCAATGAACCGACAGCTGCAGCAATTGCATACGGTCTTGATAAAAGAAATGATTGTGTTGGACAGCGAAATATTTTTGTTTTTGACTTTGGAGGTGGTACATTCGATGTGTCTATTCTCACTATTGAGAACAAAGTCTTTCAAGTTAAGGCCACTGCCGGAAACACTCACCTTGGCGGAGAAGACATTGATAATAGAATGATGAACTACTTTGTGGAGGAGATGAAAAGGAAAAGTAAAGTTGACATAAGTGGGAATCCACGTGCCTTAAGGAGGTTGAAAAGTGCTTGCGAGAGAGCAAAAAGGACACTCTCATATGCTGTTACTGCAAACATTGAAATAGATAATTTATTTGAAGGCATTGATTTGTGTTCTTCAATGACCCGAGCAAAATTTGAACAAATCAATTGTGATCTCTTTGAAGAGTGTATGGAAACAGTAGATAGGTGTCTTAGGGATGCTAAGATGGAGAAAAGTAGTGTGCATGATGTTGTCCTTGTTGGTGGTTCTTCTAGGATTCCCAAAATGCAGAAGCTGCTTCAAGACTTTTTCAACGGGAAGGATCTTTGCAAGAGCGTAAACCCTGATGAGGCTGTTGCTTATGGTGCAGCTGTGCAGGCTGCTCTCTTGACCGAAGGCATTAAGAATGTTCCAGATTTGGTATTGAAAGATGTTACTCCGCTTTCACTTGGCATATTGGTAATGGGGGATCTCATGAGTGTTGTGATTCCTAGGAACACTACTATTCCTATAAAGAAGACACGAGTTTTTCTGACATCCAAAGATAACCAATTGTCAACCAAGATTGAGGTTTATGAGGGCGAAAGAGTCAAAGCCAGTGATAATAATTTGTTGGGTTCTTTTTGTATTTCTGGCTTTTCCCCAGCTCCTCGTGGCTATCCTTTTGATGTGACTTTTACAATAAATGAAAATGGCATTCTTTCCGTTTCTGCTGAGGATAAAGTAACCGGTAGTAGGAATGAAATTATAATATCCAATGACAAAGGAAGACTGTCAAATGCAGAAATTAGTAAAATGATTAAAGAAGCAGAGAATTATAAGTCTGAAGATGAGAAGTTTCACAAGAAGGCCAAAGCAATGAATGATTTAGATTATCATGTTTATAAGATCGGAAAGGCTTTAAAGACAGAGGATATGAGCTCGAAAGAAAAGGAAGATATCATGTCTAAAATTTCTAGAGCAACTGATATGCTTGATAGGCGGAACGAGATGGAAGATATAGTTGTTATTGAAGACTTTCTGAAAGATCTTAAAGCAATCAGTGAACGAATTATGGTCATGGAAAAGGTTGGTAAAAGGAAAACACCGTTATAGTTAATTTACAAACTCTGATGGTCGTGGAGAAGATTGTCTAGTTGTTTTAAGCTGTTATGTTTTGTGTGTCACTGATTTGTCCTTAACATGTGATAAAATCAAACTTTTGTATTTTTGCAGGTATCGTTTGAATATTTGATAGTGTAGTAGTAATAGTATTTGGTTTGGAAATGGTTATTGTTGCAAATGCAAATCCTTTACATTTGATTTATCTTTGGAATCTTCAATTCTCGCAGTTTAGCCTGTTCAAGTCTAGTTTTTTTTTGTAAATTTTGTTTGCTTCTATTTTAATGTGACGAATACATACTATACGTTACTTCAAAAGTTATTTAACTTCAGAAGAAAAAAAAGAAAACACTCATATTTTTCAACAGAGAAGAATTTTAAAAGTATCAAAGTCTTTATTCTTCAAAAGTCACTAATTCTTCATTTATAAGAAATTTATTGGTTTAATTGACTTATATAGTTTAATATGAACTTTCCTATTCCTTGACTTAAATTTTCTATTTTATCTTACACTTTCATTAAAACTATTATAATTATATTATTTATTAATAATAATACAATATGAAAGAAAAGGTTTAAAATAAAAATCCTTTAGAACCATAAAATTTGAAAAGCCTAATGTATATTGAATACAAATGACTAAAAACAAAGTTATCAATATCTTGCTTTTACTACATAAAAGATTCTAAGCAATAAGAGTAGATGATGACATACGCAACAATATTTTAGAGATGATTTTTTTTTCACTTTATAAAAGGGAGAAATAAAATACGTTATATTTGTAGAATGATTGAGATTATTACATACTTTTTAAAAAAACAGTGGTGAATCTCCTTAGAATTATTACAGTCTTTTTATCATTAGAAATTGAAATGTTATATTTGTCATCATTTTCTATGTGATGTAATCAAAGTTGCGTATGGGAATCTAATGAGTATCCTCTTAGTCTTTTGGTTTTCCAAGTTCCATTCAGAAGTTTAACGTCAGACGCCGAGAGTAGTTTATGGGAATAAACAATAAGGGACGGATCTGTGTAAGAGCATCAACCCAGATGAGGCTGTTGCTTATGGAGCAGCAGTTCAGGGTGCTTTGTTGAGTGAAGGTATTGAGAATTTTTCGAATTTGGTTTTGTTGGATTGTCTATTGACAGTGTCATTAACAGCTATATTTAGATGTTTCTAGTTTAGATTTTATCTGATGCGGATCTGTTATTTCTTTTTAGATAAACTACTCTCTTCTTATTGTTATTACATGTGTTTTGCAACAGCCTCAATTTATTTCAATTTATTAGATAAGACTCAGTCAATAAGTGGTTGTTATACTTTAGAAACAAGTCAATTTTGTATAACAGCCTTAATTTATTTCAATTTATTAGACAGGACTCAGTCAATAAGTGGTTGTTACACTTTAGGAACAAGTCAATTTTGTATCCACCTTTTACTAAAATCTGTGGGTGATTTCTATTATAAATGTATGCACATATATTGAATAAGTTAAGTTCCTTTCCTTCATTTTGAAAAGTGTCAGCACCATTAAATTCTCCCTCGTAATGAGAAACGTGTGTCTGTAAGAGAGGAACGAGACTCAGGAAGTGGAAGACAGGTGGTTGCAGAAGAGTGGACGATCGGTTTCTGAGAGAATATATAGGCTAAAATTTCAAAAGTTGGTTCCACTTTCTGCATGCAATCTTCTCCTCCAAAACTTCTGAACTCGTTTCTCCTCCTTCTCTCTAACTTCTCTATAATATTATCAGTTTTTCCTCCATTAAATCTCACGTTTTCTTCCATCTGATCATCCATCAGAGTGTATGTAAGGTTGATGGTGGCAAGGATCCTCATTTAAACAGATCATTTAGTGGTTTGAACTGGTAGGTCTTCCTGATTCTAATAAAGTCTAGTTTGGGGCACATGCAAACCAAGTTTCTGTTGCATGTGTTTATCTTCTTCTTGTTCTAAGGTTCTGATAACGTTTCTGGTCTTTTGGGTGGTTTGTTTTCCTCAAACAGTGAATCTGGGAGGTTGAATGTTTGGTTGTGGTGCAAATTCTGTCTTGAGAACGATCGGTCTATTAAGAGGTAAGGGAAGCTATTAAATTTAATTATGCATGTGATGATTCTGTATATGTATGGATTGAATTGATTGATGATTTGTATATGAGTGTATGAAATGTATGTTTCTGGGCTTTTGGTGGTTCTGCATAAGTCTATAAGGATTCTGCAAAATTATGTAGAATAGTTGGGTGTTCGGTCTCAACCGTTCGGTTATGGTTAGTGAATAAGTTATCAATAGAGTTAGCATTTTAGCCTTACCAGGTTATAATCGTTCGTTTTATAGGAAGTGATTAATATATCAAGTGTTGATGGTTATATACAGTTTTAATCAGTCTTATTGGATTAGGTATTTTGGTTTGTGATAGCTCATATATTATTATTAGTAGACTTCGTACTAGTACTAGGCTTAAAATACGTTCATTTATGATCGGATATAAGTTTATGTATATATTTCAGCTAAAATGTCTTAACATTCGGATTCCTTAAAAGTATTAGGTTTGGTGAATAGTTTGTAGGAGTAATCATAGTGTTCGGTATAATCTCTAGGCATTTGGTTGTCAAATAATGAAGTAACGTTCGGTCTTACACCAAGTGTCAGTAGTTCTAAGTGCTCGGTATAAGCTTTAAGCGTTTGATTTTATCAGATAGTGAAATATCGTTCGTTCTAGTGTCGAGAATAGTTAAATATGGTTCAGTCTTATGTTAAATATTTGATTTAATTAGAGTGTTTTATTCTTAAAAAAAATGTGTTTTGTTCATGTCAAAGTCCTAACGATTACATAAACGTTTGGTTATATTGTCTGTTGTTTTGATCCTTTCTGTTCAGTGGTAATTAAGGGTGGTATTATTTGAGCGTTCGGTCTTTTTATATGAAATGTTGTTTGATCTTGCCATGCTGATGTTATGGCTTGGTACTGGTTGCTTATTATAGAGAAGATCCATGATGAATGAAAAATATTATTGGCATTCAAGTAAAAGTTTATGTTTCAAGTAATGTGGAAGAGAATTCCGGGAAGGAATGTCTTAGTGTAAGGATAATGTTGTGGTAAAGTATGAATGTGGATAGTGAAATTCATGGAGTTCATCCTGATATTCTGATGATTACCAGTTCTCAAGTAGAGATGGGTAAGTCATTGTGTGAGAATGGCAGGAGGTCCTAGCCCATAGGTTCTTGGGTGAGTTATAACAGACTAACCTCGGGTGGCAGCTAATGGTTTTCCAGTTACTACACCACCTGAGTGCACGAATGGCCTCAAGCTACGTATTCATACAATTTGGATGGTCAAGTCAAGTGTCGGTTGTATAAGAATTATGATATTTAAGTTATGTGTGATATCTATGTTGGCTCTTGTATGTTATAGCGTTCGGTCTGTAAGGGTTTGTAATTATTACATGTATGAATACATGCTCAATTGAATTATAGTAGCTTATCCTTATTTTATGTTGTTATCCATGTTATCGTTCGGTTTTCTATTGCAATGATCATCCTGGTTGGATGTGAGCAGAAGGGGAAGAGCTTACGTTAGAGCAAGAGCTGGATGGTGAGATTCTTGCTGATTAGTAGATGACCGTTCGGTCATATAGTATATATAGTTTTGGTGAACCGAACGTTCACTATTTTTGTTCTGTAAATCTAACCGTTCGGTTATATATTGAACGTTCGGAACAAAAAATTTTATGGTTATTTTTGTAATAACTGTAAGTTTGACTTTCTTATTATAGTAACTATTCTATCATATTATTAAATGTTGACACCTGTATATAGTTGTGTGCTATATTTTTGGGATGTTACAAAAAGTATCTACTATGGTCTTTCTTTGCTCCTCTGTTACTTTACTTTTCTTCTATACGTTTAATAATCTGAACAATGTTCAAGTTAAAATATATTTTTAGTGAACATTGTTATAAATTGTTGTTATCTTTTGCTGCCATGGATTTTTGCTGAATGATCTTTGGACTGTTTTCCATCTGCACTGACTATTACTTTGACTAATTCTTCTCAAAGGTGCATGTGCTTTATTTCCATTGACAGTGTGCTTGATGTATTGGAATCTTTAGTTGTATCCATGAACAAACTATTGTAGAGAGATGTTGACCTAAGAATCTTTATATAGTATTTTTTTTTTGTCTGAAAAATTAAGTTCGGTCCAATCTGTGTTCCACTAAAGAGTATAAGCCAAAAGAAAAATATATTACGCATTGTTCTTGGTAGACCGCGAAAACTTCAAATCCTAGTTCTTTTTCTAAGGAGTCTAAATGGTTAACCTAATTAGTTTAAGCTTAGTCTAACATAGACCTAAAATAACGAGCATACTCGACTATTTTGCCAATTGAAAACGAGTTGAATTTTATAACCCGATACAATTCATTGTCGGGGTTACTGGACTGGCTTGTCTATTTTTTTTCTTTTCTATCATTAAAAGTTTAATATCACATGGAAATAGACTAAATTTTATTATCTTTTACATGAAAACAAGTTGATTGTCGATTGATTATGGGCTAAAAAGGCTAAAACTGGTTATTGTCTAGACTATTTCAGATCTTAGTCGAGTTATATCAGAGCTTGATCAGACTATGAAGCTTTTAAAGTATAAGAGGCAAAAGAATGAAACAGAAACTGATAATTTTATTGAGTATAAGCAGAAAATATTTATACAACATAATCTGTAACCAACTTTTAAAAAATATCTCCTAAACTAATTAATTAAATAATGCATAAAATCTTCCTAAGAAATATATTTTTATTTAACTGCTTTGACTCACCAAATGTTGTTTGAGTAACAAAATCCCAACATCAAGTTGTGTTAATATAAAGGGTCACTACGCGGATTTTAATTTTTTTTAATGAAGTCAGGACTTAGGGGACTGACATGTCGGATTATACAGACTGAATTGATTTAGACTCCTAGGTTGAAAATGTTGTCCCAATCCACCTTTTATGGTCAGCTAGCGGACTCACTCACCAGACTTCCTTTTAGTCATTCCTACCTTCCCCCACTTAACATAAATATGAGTAAATTGTATATCAATAAAAAACAATTAATTTTGTTTGGAATTTTTAAAGCATGTTTAAAGCAAGTTACATAAATATATTGTTAATAACTTTCCAATATCTAAACTACCAATAGGATATGGTCTACCGGATACCTTGTAGCCAGTATAACTAATAGAACGATTACCAGACACTTTGTAATTGATGAACTATCTATCGAATACTGAGGATTACACCCCTAAAGATATAAGTTCAATGTTAAATAGCGAATACGATGACCGAATAACGAATACTATGTTTCCAAAACCAAAAGTTACATACATTCTCTGTGATAAGTACAACCCTCACTAGGATAAGGTGTCTTGTACTTGCGTTTACTTATTGAAGATATTTTCAAACTTTATAAAAATTTCATTATTGATAAATTTTCATTTCAATACTCAAATTTAGTTTCTGATCAGTATTTGTTGGCTAAATTAGTTTCCAATTAGATTTAGAGTTTATCTATATTATTAATATTATAATGGTCAAATTGAAACGAATTGTATTTTCTTTTATCTTCAAAATATAATACTGATTATTTAATATATTATATGTATTTATCCATGGGCTAAAAAAACCTGTAAACATATACTCAATTTTTATATACTCAACCTTCTCATTTACTATTATTTTATACTGATTTTAACTTTTTTATTAATTTGAGTGCTTTCCCATACTCAATACTCTCATGTACTGTTATTCTATACAGGTTTTAAATTTTTACTGACTTAAACGTCTTTATTTTGAGAAACTTGAAGAACTAAACTATTAATAATCTCATAATTCACCTTAAAAAGTATCCATAAAATTCGGTATGAACAAAACTTTATAAAAGTAAATATTTCACATAATAAAAATTCTATTATAAATTTACGGTAGATAATTTATATTATATTAAAAATTATTCTACGAATTTTAATACTTCCAGTTCTTTATCTATTTTTTGTGACCAACTTTATTCACTGTCGTATGTTTACGTTTCTCTAGCATGTCCAGTTTCTCTTTTGTAACCAAGATCCATTCACAATGTTTATGGGTTTTGTTTTTTTTTTTTTCTTTAAAATAAATAAGATATTTAATATTTAGATTTTTGTTTATATACTGCACCCATTTCTTCTGTTAATCTCTTATCACCTATGTTATCATCTTTAAATAATTTATTCTTGTATTTAAATTTTCAAAGAATTTTATATTACAAAACAGGTATTAATTTATGTAGCGAAGACCAGTTCATTGAAATCTCATTTTAAATATATTTAAAGTTAAACAATTTTAGAAAACATATTTTAAATTATATTTTGTATTTCATAATATTTTATTCAAGCTTCTCTATTTATTTATATTTTTCTATATAAAATAACTTTAAAACTATTATATTTGATAAAAAAAATAAGGTCTAATCACGGAAGTCTCTGTTTACGTAGACTCGTGTCAATTTCTTCGTATTTTAAGAGTGCGATCATTTTTTTTTAAATTGAGTCAATAATATTTTTGCAATTAATTACTATAATTATTATATACGATAGTAACTTTCTTGCCTAATGGCCTGAGATATCATTTAATAATCACCTGGTAAGAGGCAATGACGTGGATTTATTTGATTTTAAGTTTAAAATAAAACAACTTCCCTTTAACCCCGTCAATGACTCCGTTGCCGAACACGAAGGCTCCAGCACCTTTGAGCTCTTTCACGGCGGCGATGGCACTTGCTTCCATCCGCTCCCGCCCACCATGTTGGAATTCCTCCTCGGCTCAGGCTTCGACCGCCTACTCGAACAGTTCGCACAAATCGAGATGAACGGTGTGCCGCCGCCACGAGTTAAAGGGGTGTTAAATATGCAAACATATTTACCTGCTGTTAATGCAATCAATCGTCGTATCTGGGTTCAGACCATGATGGAGGTATGTGCATATGAGTGCTCAAAAGTTTCGGTTTTGATTCTTGGGTTTTGCCTAATTTCAAAAATTATGTTTCTGGGTTCAAACAAATATACCTTGAATCTCATTACTGTAAAAATCAATAATTTTCCCTTAAAATTCATTGATTTTGGATGATACCGTGTGAAGGATGTATCGAAGAATGGGGTTCTAGTAATGTTGATGAATTGCGTTTTCACCTCTTTTCCGTTTCTCACCTTTTTCTTCTCGGTTTCGTTGTCCTTTTCTTTTCCAATGAATTGCGTGGATCAAGCAAGGTCAAGATCGGAATCAACGATACACCATCTTCATCCTCTATTCTCCCTTCTCTTCCTTCATATCTGTTCAACATTTTTTCAACTGTTTCATTTTCGTTTTTCTTTTTGATATTTATTTATTTGAAATGTAACAGGATTTGAAAGAACGTAACCGCTACGCAGATCTGAGGCCAAAGATTCTTAGCGTTCAAAATTCAAATGCCCCATTGGGTATCTCTAATTTTTCGAGTTTTTGAGATTCTTAGCGAAAGAGCATGTCCGGGCAGGCCAAGCCATAAACATGGAGAAGGTGGGGTTTTCGAAAGCAAAAGCCGATATGGCCGTGGCAAGAAAACGGGCCCGGTTTCGATGGATCACGTGCTTCTTGCCTTGCGTAGACCAAAGACGAGAGGTATCTTGGAATTCAGAGTCTCTTCGATTTCTTCGATGCTGCCAATGATGGGTACTTGGACTATGCTCACATTGAGTCTGGTTTGTCTGCACTGCAGATTCCCCCTGAGTATAAGTATGCGAAGGAGTTTTTCAAGGTTTGCGATGCTGATAGGGATGGTAGGATTGATTACCATGATTTCAGGCGTTACATGGATGACAAGCAGTTGGAGCTTTATCGCATATTTCAGGCCATTGACAAGGAGTTGGAGCTTATTGAAGGAAATTCTTGACGGAGAACGATTACGGGGTTAAGGGGAGCGGATCTCAGCTTATTTTATTTTAAACTTAAAATCAAATAAATCCACATCATTACCTCTTGTTGGACCACCTAGTTATTAAATGATACTGAGCATATCACGGGCAATAAACTTAACGCGCTTTTACAAAAAAAAATTCAATTGAACACTTACACGAATACGTAGAAATAAGAACCTGCGAAATTATTAAACCAAAATTTAACAACTAATTAATATAATGGCTATTTGTCATTACTGGATGTCTTATGTTCACCATACACAATCGCAGAACTTATTTATCAATTTTTAATAGTTATAATTTAATTTACTATTTAAAGAAAATGTCTAGTGTTTTTTTTTTCAAATTTTTTAAATTGAAAAAAATAACCCAAATTTTCTTTAATAATTTTATTTTATTTTCTCATCTTTAACAGGAGAGTGTCCTTAAAAACTAAACTTTAAAGGGAGAAATTTATTAAAAAAAGGAAAATACTTTATGCTCAAGTCAACTGGCCGCTTGGTGGTTAAGGATGAGGATTAGTCAAAGTCATATTACCTTATTTCCCATAATCAATCTTTCAGAGAAGCATCTTGTGAAGGAAAGGCCATCATTAGTTCAAGGTAAAGCCTCTGAATTAACACCTTCATATATCTTTCTTCTGTATAAAGTAAATGTTCTGTAAATTGTTAGAGGTGATACACATGTATGTCTAGGTTTTCACTTCAGAAAGTTGAAGTTTCCTTTTCTTCTCAGTGTCATTAATTACTAGTGACAGGATACTTGGTCATTTACTGTGTCGATTATTATGTTTAATGTTTGGTTTATTAAGGCCAAAATGGGTTCTTCCTTTTATGTCACATTACTTTCTATGGCTTACTTAACTTGTTTTCACTTTTAACACATTTTAGTATCATTTGAAAGAAAATGGCAAAACAAAACAAGGAATGGGTTGTGGGAATCGACCTTGGCACAACATATTCGTGTGTTGCTGTATGGCTAGAAGAACACTGTCGAGTGGAGATCATTCACAATGACCAGGGCAATAGAACTACGCCTTCTTGTGTGGCTTTCACAGAGAATCAAAGATTGATTGGTGATGCTGCTAAGAATCAGGCTGCCATGAACCCAACCAACACTCTCTTTGGTAAAAAAATGTTTTTTTTATTGCGTGTGAATTCGTTTAAATGTTTACGCTAGCTGTTTGTGGTGGTTTTTAGGTGCCAAATGATAGCTTAACATTCGTCGTTTATTTATACTTTCCTCCAGTTTTCTAATTTGTTCTATAACTTTAAATTAGTAAGTATCATTCCACAAGACTACTTTGACTTACAACAATTTTGCAGATGTGAAAAGGTTAATCGGCAGAAGATATAGTGATCCCATTATTCAGGACGATCTAAAGTTGTGGCCATTTAAGGTCATTGCTGATTCTGATGAAAAACCCATGATGGTTGTTTCATACAAGGGTCAGGAGAAACAAATCTCAGCTGAAGAAATCTCATCTATGGTCCTTACAAAGATGCGGGAGATTGCAGAAGCGTACTTGGAATCAGAGGTTAAGAATGTTGTGGTTACCGTGCCTGCTTATTTTAATGATTCTCAACGACAAGCAACGAAAGATGCTGGTACCATTGCTGGCCTCAATGTTATGCGGATAATCAATGAGCCCACGGCTGCTGCTCTGGCATATGGCCTCGACAAGAGAGCTAATTGCGTCGGAGAGCGGAATATTTTCATTTTTGATCTTGGTGGTGGAACATTTGATGTGTCTCTGCTAACAATCAAAGGTGATGTCTTTGAAGTGAAGGCCACTGCTGGTGACACACACCTTGGAGGAGAGGACATGGATAACAGAATGGTGAAGTACTTTGTTGAGGAG